AGAAATTTTAATGGAATCATTCCTTTAGGTCTAGGATTTATGATTCTACCTTATTTTAGGGAAAACATCTCATTACTACAATAAATTTTAATATACTATAAGAGAAATACGGCGTGTATAATTTTGGACAAGCACGTTCAGCATGAAATCTTTAATGGTTTTAAGTAGTGACCTCTGTTTTATTTATTACATTTAAAAGCAAAGAGGACTGTGATGCCTAAAAAATACCAGACTAACAAGCCATACCAAACCAGATTAATTGACATGAATCATGTACAACTTTCAGGTAAAAACTAATCTCTTCCACATCCTCTACGAAGCAACCCAAACCTGAAAACTTCAGGTGTGTACATGGCCAGTAGCCAAACTTCAGGATAAAATGATTTCAAAATCATGCTAAAAGTTAAATATTCCATTTTATTATCAAAATTTGTATGTGAATGTGATCAAAACTGTAATAAAAATTTTATGGGCAGTTTTTTTGAACATCTATAATCATACTCCAAAGTAAAGCAACAATACCACAGAATTATAGTAACAACAAAAAAACTATTAAAAGTATCTTTAAAAAGCAATAATTAATTTTCTTCTCCTTCTTCCCAGCCAGCTAAAAGATACAGTACAATCTGCAGATTTCCCTGCTACTTCCTCTCCCTTTTTCCTTCCCCCTCTTCTTCAAAGAAAGTTAACTGTAGGCATTATCAGGAAACCTAAAAGGAGGAAGCAAAAACTTGTTTGTGTGTACAGGGAAGGAAAAAGACATGTAACAATACCACAGCATGCTGCTTCAGTAACCTAATTAATATATATCCATTATACTGTCTGAAAATGTTGGTTTCATTTCTCTTTTTAGTCATGTTTCTTTCTAAAATACTACAAACTATAATCTATAATGATTTCACCCTGGAACACTCAACTAAATGTCACCTACAAAGCTGACCAGGGCTGGGTGCAGTGGCTCACACCTGTAATTCCAGCACTTTGGGAGGCCAAGGCAGGTGGATCACCTGAGGTCAGGAGTTCTAGACCAGCCTAGTCAATATGGTGAAACCCTCTCTCTTCTGAAAAATACAAAAATAGGCCAGGTGTGGTGGCGCACACCTGTAATTCCAGCTACTTGGGGGGCTGAGGCAGGGAGAATCGCTTGAACCTGTGAAGGGGAGGTTGCAGTGAGCTAAGATCTTGCCATAGCACTCCAGCCCATGTGACAGAGCAAGACCTGTCTCAAATTAAAATAAAGAAAGCTGACCAGGTTAACTAACTTAATACTTGCTATCTCATATTCAATACATTGAAATCATTCAGAGAAAAGAGTAGGATTCAAACCAATGACTTAGAAGTGAAAGGACCTGTATTAATCTTGATTCATCTGTTTCCTAACCATTACCTTAATCTTTCTGATTTAATGAAAACTAAGGCTGTGCAACTGTAAAGGAAACTAAAGAAAAACATACTGCTACTGAATAAAATGCTGAGAAATCAAGGAGAAATGTGGTGGATTGAGAATTCCCAATGAAAACATTTAATTAGATTCAAAGCAAATCACCATTTGTGGAAATTTTTAAGACTTGCGCGTACCTACCACTCTAGACTAAAAAACAATATACAAAAAGGCCATTTCCAAAGAAGAGAAGTTTCCCCCACCGACTTAAAAAGTTTATAAAGGATAATTAGCATTCATATTCAAAAGAAACTGTCTCATGAAATTTTAAAAAATGAAAAAGAAACAAGCTCAATTAAAAAGCTTATTCAAGTGTATCCAAACTCCATTGGACTTACAGAGGGTTACCTAAGGTTGACATAGATCAAGGCACTATTTACAAAATCTATGTCAGTAACAGCTGCCATTTTAAGAAGCCAAGGAATTTAACATACTGCTTGGACAAGTGGTTAAAATTAATCAATCTGTTATAAAGCCACTCTAATTCCATGAACTCTAATGGATTTTCTTCTTTCTAAAACATTTCTGTATTTCACAAATTTATTTAAATAAATAAATTTAACCACCTTAGGTATCTGTAGTAAATTTTCATTCAAAATAATAAAATAAATATTTTTCAGTTGGGCATGGTGGCTCAAGCCTGTAATCCCAGCACTTTGGGAGGCCGAGACGAGCAGATCATGAGGTCAAGAGATGGAGACAAACCTAGCTAACATGGTGAAACCTTGTCTCTACTAAAAATACAAAAAATTAGGCGGGCGTGGTGGCACGCCCCTGTAGTCCTAGCTACTCAGAAGGCTGAGGCAGAAGAATCACTTGAACCTGGGAGGTAGAGGTTGTAGTGAGCAGAGATCGCACCACTGTATTCCAGTGCAGCCTGGATTACAGAGCAAGACTCTATCTCAAAATAAAATAAAAATAAATAAATAAATGTCTATCATTTACACACGGGAGAAAATATATTTATAACCTGATCTTATTTTTAAAAAAACCCTAACTATAAAAAATGCACAGCCAGGAGCAGTGGCTCGCCTGAGGTTGGGAGTTCGAGACTAGCCTGGCCAACGTGGTGAAACTCAATCTCTATTAAAAAAAAAAAAAATGAAGAAAAAAAAATACGCATAGAAAACTACTATAAACCAGTACTTAATCTGAAATTTGTAAGAAATTCTAAAACTAAGGTATGGTAGATCCTGAATCAAATGCTCTCATGTTAATTCCTTCTGATTTCTTTGAACTCAGAATTCACATTTTTAGAAATAACAATGGTTAAAATGTCAAGTCAATCACTTTACGGCTGGAAGATATGGTACCCTTTCAGGCAAGAAGGGCGACTTAGTATATACACTAGCAGAGTAGTTTAAATAGCTTACTAACAGAGACAATCATACAATTCACCAAACATCATAAGACTGTAGCTCTTTTTTTTTTTTTGAGACAGAGTTTCGCTGTTGTTGCCCAGACTGGAGTGCAATGGCACGATATCGGCTCACTGCAACCTCTGCCTTCTGGGTTCAAGCAATTCTCCTGCCTCAGCCTCCCGAGTAGCTGGGACTACAGGCGCGCACCACCATGCCCAGCTAATTTTTGTATTTTTTAGTAGAGACGGGGTTTCACCTAGTTGACCAGGATGGTCTCGATCTCTTGACCTAGTGATCCACCCGCCTCGGCCGACTTTAGCTCTTACGCCTCTGAAACTGTTTTACAAAGTTAGAGTACCTTCCCCATGCTCCCCCTAGCACATTCTTTCAATCATTGTAATTTTCAAAACCATGTCTAGTTTTAAGCCACCTGGCAAGAGTTTATTTTCAAAAGTAATTTCTACATAACGATTTTTACTTCTCTAAACCAAACCCAAGTTGAAACTTCCAAAAGTGCTAATAATACAATAACAGAATTAAAACATTAAGACTTGGGAGGTTCCTTTGATTTCACCTAGATTCACCTACTCTAAATCCCTCTGACTGGGAGAAATGAAAAGGTCTATAGTAAACTAAATGGTATCCACAACTAAAAACAAAATAAAACTCCAGGGAAAAGCTCTAACACCTTCACTATTAAACTGAGATTTGCTATGAAATAAATATTATAAACAAAGAACAAAAGCTAACAATACCAAAAAAACTAGGCCCTTTAAAGAAATAAGAAAAATCAAATGGAAGGACAAAAGCACTTCTATATAGACTTCAAAACAGGAAATAATGGTTACACTAAATGAACTATCATCTCATTTTGGTGGACATAATAGAACTATTCTAATTCCCTAAGTATTAGAATTCCATGTACAACAATTCACTGCTCATTAACACAAGCTCTTCTTCTCTCCATGAAAATAATAGCTCTACATTTAATTTTTTAAAAAAGAGTAACAAGTCTGAAATAGTATTAACTTTTTACTCCATTAGGAAAAATTTAAACTAGTTCACCCATCCTTTCTTTCAATGCAATTACTGTATTATTTTAAAACATCTGAATAAAAAGAAACCTATAATACATATATTTAATTCAACCTAAGATCTAAACATACAAATGTAGGCTGGGTGCAGTGGCTCACGCCTGTAACCCCAACACTATGGGAGGCCAAGGCGGGCAGAACACTTGAGGTCAGGAGTCGGAGACCAGTCTGGCCAACATGGTGAAACCCCGTCTCTACTAAAATTACAAAAATTAGCTGGGTGCAGTGGTGTGTACCTGACATCCCAGCTGCTCAAGAGGCTGAGGCACGAAAATCACTGGAACCCCGGAATGGAGGTTGCAGCGAGCAAAGACTGTGATACTGTACTCCAGCCTGGGTGAAAAAGTGAGACTCCATCTCAGGGAGAAAAAAAGGAAAAACAATAAAAAAATAACACACACACACAGAGCAAACTTCTGTGAGTTTTACTTATACCTGAAAAAATTAACTGATACTTTCAATAGAAAATCCTAAAAACTATTTAGCTTAATACTTTTGACAAGTTTCTTCACACAATTAAAATCTAGTAGTCAACTGGAAAACGTTTTCCTAATTAAATGTATTTGTTGGGAGTGGGCAGGTCTTTAAAAAATAAATATATAAATAAGTGTATTTGTAGTTAAATTACAATAATGGAGAACTAAAATTTATAAATAAAATATTTCAATTAATGACAACATAAAAAAAATTCCCCTTTAAAAAAATGAACTGCTATTATGCTAAACTGATAGGTACACAAACACTTATCTCATTTAATTATATTAATGACCCAATTCTTAACCTTTAGAGTTGAAGAAAATTTATACTAATATTTAACCAATTATTTTCTAATCATGACTATTATTTAGAATGTCATAGTTTATTTTGCTTACTTCTGTATTCCTAGCAACATAACACTGCCTGGCTCATAGTAGGTTCTCAGTATATATTGTTAATTGAATAAATAAACTGTTTATCCTATAAGCAAAATCAACTGCATTCATTGGGTTTTTCCCACTAGAAGTTAGAAGAAATGATACTTAAAGAATACTGTTTAAAGAATGTCTGAATATCAACAAAGTTTAATTAAGTTAAAAATTTTGAAAGTAATCTAAAATTTCTTACCTGGTAGGGCTGAAAGGCACTATCTTCAGTTAAAAAATCCAGTTGCTTATCTACAAGGAATTCTACTGCAGTGACTGAACTGGGTATACTTCTTTCAACCAGAGGTTTGAAAGTCTGCCAAGACAAAAAAATTTCTAATGATAATTTTCTGGGTGGAATCCTGAAAATATGAAGAAATACATATCAAGTATCAATGTCATTATCACTACAGACTTAGGATGCCAATTAATATTAATTCTCATATCATAAAGCTTTTAGCTACACCATAAAATATTTATGTTTATTTTAAAGGAACAAACTAGATCTACATGTGATACGAACATATTTGAGTATACTAAATCCCAACTATTTACTTTTTAAAAGGGATGTGATAAAATATGCATGTGTGTAAAAATGTCTGCTTAAAAAGAGAAACTGGTTTTAAAACAGTAAACTAGGTTGGATAGCATATTTACCCCTGCCTTTTTTAAAAACTGTATTATTTCTTATTAGAGAGTAGTTATTATTTCAATGTACAATTTTTGTCTAGCTCATTTCACATTAAGCAGATTTTAAAGGATCAGGAAGCATCTGGTCTTTTAACTCCACCCCTTTTACTCCCACCCCCACCCCTGCACCAAGCACAAATAAAAATCCTGCAGCTTTGGTGAGAACAGCATGGAGGAAGGGAGAAGAGAAAGAGGTCAGTAGGCAGTACTACACAAAACCCTATTTGCAGTCAGGTACGAATCTCCACTACTTCTTTTTAAAAAAGTCAATCCAAGGTCATTTGATTCCTTTAAGAAGACACCTTTCACATATGGGATTTTACTCATATCTTGGGCGGGGGTGACAGGAACGGAGCCAGGGGAGAAAGAGGGAGGAAGGAAACAGGGATGCCTTGTATACATTTCTTTATGACTATCACACTCACTTTCAAAGTAGATCAATATTAAATAAAAAACAAGTGTCTTCTATTCATGTACTATCCTAAAAACTTGAAAACAAAATTCCACCATTTTAAAAACAGTGACTTTACTATAAAAAAATTTTTTTAGACAATTGGGGAAAAAAGTTCAGAAAATGATATCAATAGCCAACTCAGCTTCTAAGTTACTTTTATCTCATGAAGAAAATTTTCTAGCTACAGGGTAATTTGTGTTACCATTTCCACACAAAAGGAAGCTTTTGATAAAGACAGCACAAATTCCCAGGCGTTTCAAAATCACTGTTTCCCCTTTCTCTTATTATGTCTTTAAAAATACATAACATCTTAATAACAATAAACATACTCCAGGGAGAAACTCAAGATCTTCAGTTTGGAGTGGCTTTTAGGGAGTTAATTTCTATATTTAAGAAATTCCTTAGAAGAATTTCAGGTTGACTCACTGTAATCTGTAACAATGTTTCAAAGTTAAAAATTTAATATAAAATTTAAGCAAGACTTATTGCCACACTGTCTACATCATAAAATTACAAATAATATTTTCTTAATTAAAATAACATGAAAAAAGTTAGCTTACATTCTCACTTATTTTCAATATTTAAGATTAGAAAACCTAATCACAGTAACATCCTCTCTCCTGTATCCTAGGCTAACCTTTTAAGCACCGTATTATCATCAAAAATATCTGGATTTGGGTGAGAAATCACATTTTTGAAATAGAAAATCCTCACATTATTCACCTATTTCCTTTTAGGGTTCTCATTTAACACTTCTATTTACATAAAATCCTATAGGATTTTATAAAATTGTATTTATTATTTTACTTAACAAGTGACAAAAAGTTTATAATAAATTCAAGAGCATTCATTGTATTTAGGCTTTAAAAGTGTCCCCCCGATGTAATCGATTGACATGAAATATGTAACATGAACAGAAATATTATTCGGCTGATCTCTACTGTAAAAAATGTGTTTTCATATTATATCTCCGTCAGTTTAGTTTTTAAGTAAACTAGAAAACACTGTCATCTTCTCAAGAGGACTTTTAATCCTCGAACATTATCAAATGATCTATTTCTTTTCAAACAATACCTTGTCAGGTCAACCCAAGAAGGTTAACAAAAAGGTCCACAAAAGGTATTATCTAAGTGGCTAAAGATACAATTCAATTAAGCAGGATTTGAAAAAGAAGTAAAGTTCTCCTTTTGGAGTGCCTCTTTTCTTACGCAAATAATACAGGTGGCTTGCATTTCCTATGAGTCCCAGTCATTTTATAATATGAAAAACATTCTTCTGAAGAGAGCTCTGCTTTTCAAGGTAGAGTTCTACGGGTAAATTTCAACAAAACAATCTATAATTTAAATTATTCTAAGTTAATTAGAAAAAAGGATTCCTAAGTTAAAAAAAAATTGTCACATTTTAAAATGCCCCATTGAAAACCAAGTAAAATTTGACTACCAGAAATGTAAGAAAACTAGCTGACAATGATCAAAACTGAATACTCTTACAAGGATGTAAGTACTTATAATCATTTACAAATGGAGGTCCAAAGTATATCGCGCTTCTTAAATAGTAAATAAAAAGTACTGATAAATACTTTCATAGTATTTGTTAAATGTTTCAATATTTATTAAATGAGCAACAGTGAATATGTGTGACTGCTCTACTTTAAGGAAAAATGAAAGGCAAACAACATATGAAATAATATTAAAATACACCCCGATTTTTTTAACTGACAAACCAATCATGTAACTATTGTTAATTTTTGTATTAGTCTAACATATTTCAAAGAAATATTGTAAGTTTTAAAATACTAACATATTTAAATAAAAACAAATGGATCCTACGGGTGGCATGATGAATTTGTAGTAAATAGTTCATGGGTCTAGGTACACTGGAATGTAAAGACACTAGAACTCATGCATAACTAATTCAACACTCTAAAGATGATCATTCTATAAGGAACTTCCACAGTCTAAAGGGAAGCAATGAGCTAACATCTGATAAAAGTCACAGCAGAATATGGCCCTAATCACAAAAGACCATTATTTAAATACTGTAAAAACACTAAATGTTCAGTTGAAACAAAACACTTTTTCAATTTTATTAATGGATTGAGGGTGTTTTCTAAGGTCATTTATCAGTGTTAAACACACTTTAAAAATAGTCTACAGCCCAAATAAATATAGTTAAGAGTCTGCATTTCTAGTAGGCCTACCAAACTATAGGAAGAATGCTTAGAACAACTGTATCCTGTTTGGGGCTCCATGCTGCACCACATTCCATTCACATGAGGAAGAGGCGAACAGATGAGCCCTCCTCGAAAAACATTTTTAAAATAAATCAGCTACAGCTCTTAAACACAACTCAGCTGCTCAAACAAATGATGTTAAAGCTCACCGTTTCACATTTAACAGGAAATTCAAGGAGCTTATGTCTGCAGTCTTAGTTTCTAACAATCTCTGGTGAACAGTTAACGATTCCAAGTTTTTAAAAATCAGGCTTATTAACTGCAAAAATACTAATATAAATCTCACCAAAGGTAAATACTAAAGCAGAAAACAACCTGACCAACATTTCAGAAGTTTTAGATTTAGTCTACCACACACACACACACACAAAAAAAAAGACTGCAGTGACTTGAAAGAACAAAGTCCAAATTCCCACCCAAGCAGGTCTATTGAAAAACACGATACTGTTAGAAAACAAGTTGGGGGTGGGGAAGGGAATAACCAAAAGAAAAAAAAAAGCATCACAAAATAAATACCACACTTCTTTTGAAACACTAGTCTGAAAACCCTAATTTGAAGCACTTCTGCCATAATACTCTAGTTATTAAATTAACATTTATAATTATTAAATTACTACGAACACAATAAACCTTTTTAAGCAAATAAAAGTTTAAAATTGTTAAAAATAAAAACATTGAGGCCAGATCTATAAAAGGCAGTGACCTTAATTCCTCAGGCTGAGAAGAAAAACCAAATGTAAATTAAGACAAAAGAAAAAGGAAGCAGAAAAATACAAACCGTACTTTGTTCTTGAGAATTTTAAAGTATCTTTAAATCTCCGAAATCCACAACAAGGCTTTAAAGGTCAATAAATATTGCTGAAATTTCCATTTTGTTCTTGAAGAGTATTTATCTAGTGTAAATACTTCTTTAGTCTTCAAAAATCACAGGCAAATGGCTCTCAAACCAAGCATTTCTGAGCTCACTTGCAGCGGCGTCATTGTATAGGAAGAAAAGCCAAGACCACAGAACGAAGCAGGAGCTGTAACCTAACAAGTCTCCGACGAGCAAATGACGATTTTCTGTCTGCTCTGGCTCAGCCCTGGCAGTGATGAGGATTACAACTTGCTCTTTGTCATCAGCGCTGTGGTGTTAACGACTAAGAAATCCTGCAGCTGAAGCACTACTGCATCCTCCGATCTGGGTCAGGATAATTTCTCCCGAGGTCGCTTATATAACCAGTAAGGTACTCCAAATAAAGAGAACAGCCATCCATCAGCTGGAGAAAGCCTTTCCCACTGTACTCTGTCTGCGTGGAAACACAGTGCAGTAGCTTCCAACAGTGCAGACACCCAAATGAGAACGAGTACTTGGCTTAGGGCACACTGAGAGAAGGGAAGAGGCGGTGCTCTGTAAACTGTAACTAATCCCCCGTCACAGGTGCTGATGGAGTCACTTCCAGCACGAGTCACATTACTGGTGATTACTCATTTGGCTGCGGCCATAGAGACTGGCTCATAATTTTAACAACAGACAAAGACAGACTAGTGGCGAGACTGAAAGCTCAAGTTTACTGTCTCCTTCATAAAGCAAATGCAAATAGTAAGTTTGTGCTTTCCAGATTTACCAAGGTGAGAATGTGCAGAAAAGCAATAACATGCGACTATCTCTCAAGTTGGCAAAAATAAAGCATCAAATGTACTTCCTATGTTTTTAGGCACGGATTTATTTTTTAATATAATCGTTTTGCCTTGAAAATATTTAAAACTTCAAAATAAATCAATATAAAATGTTTTTAGGCAATAATCACAATGACCTCAGAGGCATTTTACTCAAAAGAAAAACTGGTAATATTTATTTTGGTAGATTTGAAAATACTCCTCAACCATTTTCACTCATTAGAAAAAACAATTTAACCTAGACAGTTCTAAGATACCTACAATTTGAAAGCATAAAATA